GTGCCAGGACAGCCAGGACTATTACACAGAGGGGGGAAAAATTCACAGTTGTATAAAATTTTCTAAGGGATTAAAAAAAAAAAAAAAAAAAACCTTCTAAATCTACCCTTCCAAGAATGTTTTAAAGGGATCTTTTTATACCAATTCCCAAATGGTGGAAGACAAGCATGGCGATTACAATGCCAGCTGTCAGGGTTCCTCAGACTGGAAGGCCCTTTAAAACACTAGCATTGATTAGCTAAATACAGTTCCCTTTCCCAGAAACTAGGTACATATTTCAGAACCATTTGCTCAGGGGAGGGGGAAGGGGTGAGGGGAGAGAGTGGTGTCACAATTGAGTTCCTGAGAGTATTACTGCCCAAATATAAGTAAAATCTGATTTTAGCCGTGGGACCCTTGATGTCTTGAAACAGTTATGTACCTCTCTGTCTGTCTGTGTAACACCCAGTACTGGGAGGGGAAGACTCAAGGAGCCTCAGTTACGGCACTGTTGGGTGATGCCTTCTCTGCCCTGAAGAGAAGGGAGGCAGATGAGGGGGTACAGAGCATCCTCTGCTTTCACAGATCTGTAGTGTGAACTGATTATTGAATCATCCATTTCCGAACATTACTTTTAGATAACAGAAATCACCCAGGGACAGGTTTTAAATGACTTCATTGCTTCATGGGTCCATGTGGGGGTAGGAATCTGGACTCAGAAATGTTGGAATAAAACCTCAGTGACAAGTTGTCAGCAAAATTGGACAACTGTTGGATTCACACATCAGTGGCTGTGTTCACTGTTGCCCTGTTTGTTTTAACAAACCCTAGAAGCTGGGGGCTGGGTCTTACTAATAAGAAATCTTTTGAAATCTCTATGATAGGAAGGTCTTGCATGTAGACTATGAATTCCAGGAAACTCAAAACAATATTTTTCTATGGCATCTTTCCATAAAGAGTAAGTTTCTCCTTCTACCTGTATAGGTACCTAGTTCATTTTCATAGTGACTTGCAGAATATGAGAAAAATGTACATTGCTTTGTCTTACCAAGTATAATATTTAGAAAATGGACAAGCCAGGTGGGCATTGGTCACATACCAGAAATCTCAGTACTCAGGAGGCTGAGGCAGGAGAATTTTTGTGTGTGAGTTTAGAGCCAGCCTGAACTATGCAGTTTGACCCTACCCCCCACCCGAAGGAAGGAAGGAAGGAAAGGAGGAGAAAGAAAATAGAGGTGGTTTCTCCATCTCAAGGGTTAGAGGACCTCACCCGTTTCTTTGTCTCACAGTGTATGAATCAGGGCTCATCTCCCAAGCGGGACCACTCAGAGGCTCCGTGAAGTTGGGCAGGGTCCCTGCCAATGCTCCTGGCTCTGCTTTGAGTCTCTTTACCAAACTGCATCAGAACTGTCTGGACACAGATAACCTCGGTGCAGGGAGGCGCTACAGAACTGATGAGACCAGCTGTCATCTGTCCCCAGGGAGGAGCAGGGAGGTGTAACATAAGGGTGACAGACCAGATTTACTTGCAGTTTCTTGTGCCACACAAAAGATTAGAGCAGGCGCCCTGGGCTTCATGAAGAGTGAGTACGAAGTGAGGAGAGAACAGAAACTCCAGACACTAACCCGAGTTGTCATCTATTAAGTTGTTCCCTGGAAGGAGGACCTCTTGAGAGCAAACTTGTGTGTCCTAGTTGTTAGTGTTCAGGCATCTGTGCTGGCCTGCCCGTGGGTTTCTGACAAGATACACCCTCAGCTGCAGCCGCTAAAAGCACTACGTTCCCTTTTCAAAGGGCCCTGCCCACTTCCAGTCCTCCTCTCTCTCTCTTTCTCTCCCTCACTATCTCTGTCTCTTTCTCTTTTTCTCTCCCCTTTCCTGTCTCCTGCTCTCCTGTCCCTGGAGTCTGGTCTCCCCCTTCCCCTTTCCCTTTTTACCATCCCTTTCCCAAAAACAAGACAAAACAAACAAACAAAGCCTCTGCTTGATCCCTGCCACGTGCTGTCTTTCTCTAGAGCTGCTTTTCTTAAGCTGCAATAGTTCAGTGAGTTGAACCTTATTGTCTCCCTTTCGGCCGTTAGAATTTTCCTGCTCTTGTGCAGTGTCACCTAGGTTCTAGGTGCGTTTCTCTCGCATTGCTGCAAAGTTTTACATGTGTGGCTATTTTATGTGCATTTGAAGAGGGGATGGTTCATACTCCAGCGTGTTCTCAAAGCTGTGTAACTCCCAAAATTATCAAACCCCGGTTATCCTACTAGTCCCCTTAGCCTCCCCAACCCACATGACCCCTCCATTGAGTCCCCACTACTTTTGAAGCTCAGTTTCAACACTCAGCTTTGTGTGTTTCCTCGTATGAACTGGATAAAGAATTGAAGGTAAACTACTGTTTGGATTTCCTAAAGATTGTAGCAGCCTGTCACATTTCCTAGAGGGATATTTCTTTGTTACAGTCTGCCTGGGCTCTGCTCTCTAGACTACCAAGGACAATCTAACTATAAAAACTTCTGCAGGATTATTTTTTATGAGGGGGGTGGCTTAAACCTTTTATCTCCCTACCTCAGCCTCCTGAGTGCTGGATTACAGGTGTTCGTCAACCACACCTGGGTTGTTATTGTCCTGTCTAAACTATAACTGATCCTAAAGGTTTGAATTTTTCTACTTTTTTATTTGTTTCTTTTTTCTGTTTTTCATCCTAGAAGAAATGAGGTGATTTAGCCAGGGTTCTTTAGGATGTTTGGACTGTGTTCTCATCACATCCCGAGGGGCTTTTATGCCTTCCTGCTTGTACTGGGTTCTGGTTGTCTGCATTCTCCCTTCTTTGAGGTTTTACTCAGGTGGAGAAAGAACAAGAGGGGAAGGCTTCTGAGGATTAGGTTAGCCTGAGCTCATGGTACTCTTTGTGCCCAACAAATGGTGAGAGGGAGAGAGGAGGGGGAGGGGGGGAGGAAGTATTGAACTATTAAGTATTTTTCTTTTAATTTCCCAACCATAGTGTGAATTCTTCTTTGCCAAATGGCTTTGGGGCTTTGCCTGGGACATCTGTGCCAAAGTGAGAGACTCGTCTTGGCCAGACATGGCCACATATTGAAGAAGGAGCCGTTTCCAGGAAAACTCGGAGCTAAGCTTCTTAGAAATCCTCCCTTGATTGTCAGAGCCAGGCCTCCACACTTAGACCATCTGGGAAAGTTTGGACCGGAGTTCCAATATCTGTTTCATACATTTTATCATTTCATAAGCTTAAAAATATTCTCCTTTCTATGAGATATGCATTTACTGATTTTTTTTTTACATATTGAGCAAAGCTTTTGCATTTTTAGGAGCTTTAAGAAGAAGTGTACACCTTAGGACTGACAGAAAAGCAGGAAAAGAGTCAAACGTTCCTGGAGCTCACAGCTGCTATTCTTTGGGGCTTTGGTGGTTCTCAGTGAGCCAACAGGGACGCCCTACGTGACCACTTGTTAGTGAGAGTTCATGAAGCTGTGTAGTTTGCAGGTGCTGAAGCTGCCCCCCAGTAGCATGCTTTCCCTACCCTGTGCATCTCTGTATCCAGGGAGGGCTTCAGCCTGGAGATATGCCTCTGCTCTGCTTCGACCTCATCTCTTGTGTCTAGTGGTTATCAATCTGTTTATTTCTAGATGAGGGCAGTGACTCCAGAGTGTTCTATGTGTCTGGACAACCAAGGAACATGTTATTTTGCTGTAGCTGTGGTTGACATCACAGTTCATTTAGTACTTTGATTTGGTGCTGTGCTTACTCCAAGTCTAAAAATGGTCCTGTGTACAAAAATAGCTCTTGACAGTTTGAGAATTGCTTTGGTATTTGTATTTTGCTGCAAATTAACTAGCTAAACCCCTTTGAATATAGCAATTTCTTTAGTCTCTTTTTTTTTTTAATCCTTTGGGTTACATATACATTTACAGATTGGCTGAAGTGAGTCAGTATGTTGCTGCCTGCAAGATACAGATAACAATACTCAATTCAAGATGTATCTTTCTGTGGAAATTAACACAGGCATACGCAGTAGTGAATAAGCAATACTATTATATGTATATGTGCAAACTATTTGTAGACTAATATGCATCAAGAAATGGAGAATTAAAATATTCTGCCCGAATTTAGGAGGTGCTTACCATAAGCTAAAGCTTGGGTTTTGAAAAAATAAGAAAAGCTTGGTGCCTTATTTATCCATAACTTGGGCACTGTAATGAATGAAAATGGTTCTTGATTGTCCCTTGAAAAGAGGCAGGGGGGAAAAAGAAACAAAAGAAAAGAAGGCAGAGAAATCAATGCGGGCCAGCAGCCATGGGGAAGATTCAAAAGGTTGGGTTTTTATGCTGTGCTGTGGCGATTGTACAAATTCAAATATGTGCAGGAGCCATCTGAGGCCAGAAGAGGGCGCTGGGTCCTATGGAACTGCAGCTGCATGTGGTTGAGAGCTGCCATGTGGGTGCAGGGAACCAAACGGGTTCTCTGCAAGAGCAAGTGCTCCCAACCGCTGAGCCCCCCTCTCTAGCGCAGCCTGTGTTTTCTTTTCCACAGAGGCTCTCTACAGTCATTGTTTATTCCATGTGCTATGAGGAGGGAGGCAGTTCCCCATGGCAGCCCCTCTCTCTTCTATTTCAGTGGTTTTCTTTGGCAGCAGTCATCTAACTTTGTAGAGATTGGAAGTCACCCGGTAGAGTCCTTTCTGTGTGGGCCCCGGGGAAATACTCACCCCTAGAAGATTCTGTTCTGTCGTTTCAGCTTAGTTTTCTGAGTCGAAGGATGAGGAATCCCTGGGGTACGCTACCAGTGAGGGGTAAAAGAAAGTGTCCTGTTCACTCGTCTTCCAGTCTTAGTGGGTGAGCCATGTTTTATGTGAGTAACTGACTATACAACACAGCCACCGGATAGGCTGGGCACCTTGTATGGCATCATCTGCATTGACTTGGAGCCATCTTATGGTGCTCTTGGCAGTGAGTTGTGTAGTATCTGGGTTCTGGCAGATCGGCGCTAAGCTCTCTTTCTCTCTCTTGTCACCTAGGTTACGCTGCACCTGAACCCCATCTCCTCAGTGCACATTCACCACAAGCCTGTTGTGTTCCTGCTCAACTCCCCACAGCCCCTGGTCTGGCATCTGAAGACAGAGAGACTTGCCAACGGTGTCCCCCGACTTTTCTTGGTAAGTGTTCAACACCCTCCCCCGAAATGCTCCCAGTGCAAGGTTATAATGACTCAATTTTTGCAAGACATTTTATTTCTTGAGGCAGTATTTTACTATGAAGCTGAGACTGGCTTCAAACACTCAGTCCTTCTGCCTCGGTGTCCTGAATGCTGGGATCATAGTTGTGTATAGCATGCCCAGTTTGCAAATTTAAGAAGCACCCATTTTTAAAAAACTTTTTTTAAAAAAAAAAAAAAAAAAAAAAAAAAAAAAAAAAAAAAAATTCTTTTCATTAAAATGATACCAAAAGGTGTGGCACTTTTATTTGTGTGTGGGGGATGTTTGGATGGAGTAGGAAAGAATTCCTAGGAAGCAGATGCCTCCTGTGTTCTGTGCAGAGTTGGTCTGGTTTGCACAGTGTTGCAGGGCCTGTTGTCATACTATGTGTGGCCCAAAGCCTGGTGTCCCCTTCTGCCTGGTGGCATTAAGAGTACTCTCAAAGCTGTAAATAACTTCTGGTGTGTGGTCTCTGACCACAAAATGAATACACACAAACCCATTTCTGTTTGTGTATAACTCTGGCCTGATCTCTGATACAAGGAACTGTTTGTTGACAAAGTCACACAGTGAGCTCCAAGCATCAGTTGTATTTTATTAAAAAAAAAAAAAAAAAGCTGGAGCCCAGCTCTTGCAGTCTGTTCCAAATATTACCTACTATTTGTAAATCATGTCCTTTGGAGTTTGCCAAAACATTCGACTCTGCTAGTTGTGGAGCAATAGATGGGTTGTTGGGATGAAATGTTTGGGGTGTGATATCATGTCTGATGAGCAGCTTCATGGTGATATCTCGTAGTCATTGTGAGGGCTGTGTGCTGTCCTTACTGCAGAGCCCCAAAATCTCACCGGTAAGCAGCTACCTCTGTTAGCAAATTCACTTTTGCCCCCATGAATCAATTTTTGCTGCTCTAGTGACTTTAGCACAAGCTGTAGTTTCTCACCGCTTGCATTTGAAGGACATTTTTAACCACTTGAAGGTATCTTCCCAATAATGTGAGGATCCGTATAGCTAAAGGTTGAGTAAGTGTGTAAAATAGAAGAGACAGGGCAGCTCTTATTTGTAGTGCTAACTGTTAAATATTATCTATGGAAGAAATGATGGAGCTAGAATATCATTTTGCAGCCATCACAGTGAAAGTTGATCAGACAAGAATCTTCAACAGATGCCAGGTCCAATTACTAAAAGAACTGGGATTTTGAGGGCCAGTGTATTCAGATACTCTCTAAATACTTTCCCCACAAATTATTTATTAACTAGAAAAGAAAAATTGCAGCTATGGAGAGGGGGAAATCCTTGGGAGTGCTTTAAGATAGAATTAATGATACCAGCATGGGGCAGACAGACATTGTGTGTCTGTAAACAAGAAAAAACATAGCATCCCTTGTGTCTTAGTCAGGGTTCCATTGCTGTGATGAAACACAATGACCAAAGCAACCTGGGGAGGAAAGGGTTTATTTCACTCACAGTTCCAATAATAGTTCATCATTAAAAGCAGAGAGGGGAGGAACTTATTATGCAGGACAGGGACCAGGAGGCAGCTGAGGCAGAGGCCATGGAGGGTGCTGCTTACTGGTTTGCTCCCCATAGCTTGCTCAGCCTGCTTTCTTATAGAACGACCTGCCCAGGGAAGGCATCACCTGTAATGGGCTGGGCCCGCCCCCATCAATCACTAGTTAGGAAAATGCCCTACAGCTGGATGTGATGGAACAATTTTCTCAATTGTGGTTCACTCCTTTCCTTTTTTTCCCCTCACAATAGCCCCAGGGTAACCCCTCTTTATAGATGATTTAGGGGCTTAACAGGGGCCCAGATCACTAGGCTAATTTCTGGCAGGGTTTGGATTTAAAACTAAACTGGGACCCACTCTGTAGCTCTTGTGCTGAATAGCAACCTCCATGCTGGGTCACACCAGCCTTCTGTAATTAAACGTATTTGTGATAGTAAGACAGCTCTTGTAAAATCATATACTCACAAGTTTGCTCTATATACTGTAGTTCAATGCTTCAGAAACTACCTGTGCATAGCTGTTTAGCTTTAAAAAAAAATCTAAATTGAGGCTGGTAGCACAGGCCTCTAATCCCAGCTACTCTGGAGGCTGGGGCAGGAGAATTGCAAATGCTCAGCTGTTTAGTAAAGTCAAAGCTGGTTTGGGGAATTTAGGCCCTTTCCCAAAAATCGAGGAGAGAGACATTGATTAGGTAGAGCATTTACATAGCATGCACAAGGCCCTGTGTTCAGTTTCCAGAACCAAAAGAAAAAAATTTAAATCCAGTTCTTGTGCCTTGCTCCTGTCAGGTCCTTGGGAATTTCTGGAAAGTGGTTACTACCAGGGTAGCCAGGATAACAGCTGATGTGGTGAGCAGAGGCTCTGCCTACACAGCTGTGGTCCAGGCAGTAATTGGGAAGATTCATCTCTGTAAACCTGACTTTACCCAGCTGTAGTATAGGATTAATGACAGTCCTACCCTGTAGAAACAAACACTATCTTGTCGTGAGGAAATTGCATATAAAATGTTGAGTGTGGTGGCTGCTGCTGCTAAGTTCACTAACATTTGCCATTTCTGCTGTAATTAGCAGATCAACGAGTCCTTGGGAAGGGTTAGATCAGTGTCGGTATGTAAGGTAGCTGTTACATGGCTCCAGATCTACAGTTCCCATTTCTCTAGGCTGTGGGTTCCATGCACAGCGTGGGCCACACACACTGTAGTTTTGCTTACTGTTGTTGGTTTCTTCAGCCTGTCATGCCGTGGGATTTAGAGGAAATTGTCTCTGTTATTATTTGTTTACTTTGTGAGCCTAAGAACTCCATCTTGACAACTAATTGGAAATACACTAATGAAGAAGTTAATCCTAGTCTACAAATTAACATCAACCTTATTTGGAGTTAATTCCATGTAAGGACATAACAGAGGGACACTGGCGAGGCAGCTGTGGGAGAAGTTACTGACTGAAATCCTTGGACACCCAAGCTCTGCTTCCTTTGGCCTTCTGTGACTGCTCATTCTCCATGGCCTTGGGTAGCCAGCAAAACATCTGCTGCTCAGCCAGATCAGGGCACTGCAGGTGGCTTGAGATGGCTAGGAAACTCCCCTCCTCCCCAAGGCCTGTAGGGAATCAGTGTCCTTCATCCATGTCACAGTCTTTGTGATGATAGAAAACCAAGTGTGTTCAGTTTGTCCATCCATGAAGTGTTTCTCCGAGTACTTCAGCAGTACAGGCTCCACAGAAGTTGAGCCCTAAGATTACTTGGTGGGCCAAGGACACCTTGGAGAGAGGATGGGTCCCTTGACCCTCAGTCCAAGGTCCTTTGTTCTCATGCCCTTGTGACATGTGATGGTAAAGAGGTCACATGACGAGCTCCAAGCTATGTTTTCTGGTAGAGTTACAATTCTTTAGTGGCCACTAGTTGTTCTTATGCAGAATGATGAGAAAGGTTTGGATAATGGCATCTACCTGCTAATTTAAACCAATAAGCCCTGGTTGTTTTAACTGCCTAAAGCTTGTGTAGTTAGTTAGAATGTCTTGTGTTACTCAGAATGTCCAATCTGCTAATTTCCTAAATATAAAATATATTTTTCTGTTATTATTACACTATCCGGTAGAGGCCTCTGTCTTTTGTCAATTCACCATCCCTAATTCCACAGCACAGACAGGAACTGCATCAGGAACAGAGGGGTTGGGGGAATGTAGTTTTCTTTGCAAATGCAGCAGCTGCTTTGTCCTGTTGCTCTGACTACCTAGCAGCTAGAAATGGATGGTGCATTTCAAGGTGCATCTCAAGTCACGTTCAGGCATGCTCATGATGAAGTTGCCACAGCCTTTCAATATTTTTCTGTGTGGCCCAGAGAATATTCAGTAAGTAGATCAGGATTGTCCCTTGGTGCAATCAGAAAGAAAAGTAATCCTGCCTCAGGGGTAGAGATGTAGCTTAGTGCTTACTGAGGATGCATGAGCTCTGATTTTGATCTCCAAAAACTGCATGCACCTGGGTGTGGTGACATGTGCTGTTGTGCCAGCACTCGGGATATAAAAGCATGAGGACCGGAAGTTAGGGTCACCTGGGCTACATGAGACCCTGTCTCAAAAGTATGAGTGTTTGTGGGCACATGCTATAATTTGAATAAACCTTTCTACCAGGAGAAGACACAAGTGACCAAAAAAGCACCTAAGATCATGAAAGTCCACTAACCACAGCACTGACCACCTCTGTGGTAAAATAGACCGAAAATAACAAGTGTTGTCAGGGAATAGAGAAATTGAAAGATTGCACATTGCTGGTGAGAGTGTAACATGGTTCTTTATACAGTCACCTGGAGTCCCTGCCCACAAACATCCAAGGCAAAGCTATTTGTAATAGCAAACAAATAAGCATAGAAGCAACCCAGATGTCCATCATCTGATAGTTCCTGCATCTTGCTTCAGTATGTATATCTATCTTTTGACTTTAAAAAGTGATGGACCTTTAAAACATGCTTAGTGACACATAAGCTGCATACAGTATGATTCTCTTTGCTTGAAATGACCAGACAGTCTATGGATTGCCAGGGCCAAGTGGGGAGGAGGGTGTGGACTGTCAACGGTGTGAGATCCCTCAGCAGAAAGTGTGGAGGAATCGTGTAGTGGCAAGAATATATTAAACACACTGGATTGGCTGGACGGTGGGGGTTCACTTTAATCCCAGCACTGGGCAGGTGGGTTTCTGCATTTGAGGCCAGTCTGGTCTACAGAGCAAGTTCCAGGATAGCTGAGACTACACAAGCGAAACCCTGTCTTGAAACAATAACCCCTCTTCCCCAAAGATTCTGACATATCATTTAAAGTCAAAAAACAACAAACAACGCGCTGCAGTGTTCTTAAAAGGATCAGTGCAAGAGCTGGTCATGTGTGGTAGAGTGCTGGCCTGGCTTGTGCAAGGCCCTGGGTTCCATTCCATGCCCAGCTAAACTGACAAACAAGGGAA